TCCTCCCCCTTACCATCTGAGTGTTGATTATCTCCGGCCAAGACAGAGTTTGTTGGGGAGAGGGGCGCTGATTTCGAACTTCATCCTCGCTGGGGAAAGTACGACTCGAAGCTGTTATCTTAGCAGCACTCTCACGAACGTGCGGCAGGGCTCTGGGGTACTTCATCTTTCCCAAGTCACGAAGGCGTGGGAGGGTTATGAGATTCCTCTCGCTTCGCGGGGTGCACGTCCGGAGCACGTACAGTCACGTCGTCGCGGGGCCTCTTGGGAGCCTCTTGGGAGCCTCTTGGGGGCCTCCTGGAGGCCTCCTGGGAGCTTCTTTGGGGCATTTCCCCCCTCCTTTTCATACACCCTCCCCATATTCCCTTCCAGCGCCGGCTCTAATCATGGGCGCCGCAGTGACCAACTTCCACCTGGCTGGCGCTGCGCCGCAGTTCGCCCAGAGGGGGGAAAATGACATTACACTCCAGTCGCTGTGTGGCCTTTGGGGAACTTTTTGGGGGCCTTTTGGAGGCTTCGGGGAGCTTCTTGGAGGCTTCTTGGGGGCGGGTTATGAGATTCCTCTCGCTTCGCGGGGTGCACGTCCGGAGCACGTGCAGCCACGTCGTTGCGGGGCCTCTTGGGGGCCTCTTGGGGGCCTCCTGGAGGGCTCCTGGGAGTTTCTTTTGGCCTCTTTGGGGCTTCTTTGGGGCCTTCCCCCCTCCCTCCTTTTCATGCACCCCCCCCATCTTCCCTTCCAGCGCCGTCTCTAATCATGGGCGCCGCAGTGGCCGACTTCCACCTGGCTGGCGCTGCGCCGCAGCTCGTCCAGAGGGGGGGGAATAACATTACTTTCCAGTCGGTGTGTGGCCTTTGGAACGCTTTTTTGGAGGCCTTTTGGAGGCTTCTTGGGGACTTGTTTGTAGTTTTTGGGGGGGCCTTTTGGGGCCTCTTGGGGGCGTCTTGGGCCGCCTTGAAGCGCTTTTGCGTCGTCTCGCCCCCCCGGAGGCTGTCTTGGGGGCCTTTCGCGGCCGCATTGGAGCCCTCTTGGGGTCCTCTTGGTCCGTTTTCGCGGCCTGTTGGACAGTCTGCGGGGCCTGTTTGGGCCGTTTCGGGGCCGTTTTGGGGCATCTCTTTTTTTGGGGGGGGTTGTTCTTGGGCGATTCTGGAAGCTGCTTGGGCCGTCATGGATTTTCGACAGTCGAAAAAGGCGAGAACGCTAACATATTGCAAACATCATGGGGAAATCAATGATTTCGGCATCTGCAGGCGCAGTGGTGGGCGCTCTTGGGGCCCTCTTGGGCCGTCCTTGAGTTTTTTGGGGCCCTCTTGGGGCCTTCTTGGGGGCCTCATGGGCCCCCATTGGGAATATATTGGGCCGTGTTGGGGCCGTCTTGGGCCGTCTACGGGCCATCTTGGGCCAGCTTGAGGCCCTCTTGGAGTCCCCAGAGGCCCAAGAGGGATAATTTGCTGATTTTTCACAGTTTGTTTGTAGGTTAGGGGGCCCAAAACAGGGGGCCGCCAGTTTGGTACGGCGCTGTGGCGCGACTCCACGGGGGGGTTGGGGGGGAGACATAATATTGCAAAACTATACGACATGTAGCAATTATGCAATGATTAGATACATTGGACGCGTTGCATTACAGCATCCGCGGACCTGCCTCCGGCAACACGTCACTTCCGGACGTGAATTCTTTGGCTTACGCCGCACCGCCGACCCCTTGGGGGGCTCGTGGTACGTCTCTGGGCGGCCTCCAGGCAACACTTTTGAGGCCTTTGGGGGGCCGTTTCGGGGCCTCTTGGAGCCCCTTTTGGGTCTTCGGTGTGGGAGGGTTATGAGATTCTCACCATCTCAGCTCTCCCATGTCACGAACGAGTGGCAAGGCCTTTGGAGTCATCACCTCGGCCTTCCCAAGGCACGATAACGTGCGGCAGGGCACCGGGGTTCTCACCATGATTCCACTCTCCGAAGTCGCGAACGTGTGGCCCTCCTTCCACCTCCGTCCTCCTTCTTCTCCTCCTCCTCCTCCTCCTCCTCCTCCTCCTCCTGCTATGGGAATTATCGCATCAGCTGTCCCAAGACACGAGCGTGCGGCAGGGCCATTGGATTCACGTGGAGAGTACATCCGTACATCCGTGCATCCGTACATGCTAGTTGCTGGGGAAGATGTGTCTTATCCCCCCCGAAGCCTCGAACTTTCTGATTCTGGGGGGTCGGGTGAAGTTTCTGAGCCGCTTTCTGTCTTCCCCTTGTTTTCCGTTGTGCCTGTGCGCATGTGGGTGAGGTCGTGCTGCGTCCAGGAACTTCTGGACGCCTGGCGCCAGGGCCGGTGTTCGGTGACTGGTGCTCGGCGTGTTTGCAAGGTGGGCCAGGGCCGCCCATGCAGACGCCTGTGTTTCCCGTCTCAGCCACGTGCTGAGGGGAGTGGGGGGAGGGGGGAGGGCTTCTTAGAAGCACCCCTGCTTCTTAGAAGGCGCGGGCCTTATCTATAGATGTAAGGCTGGTGCCTTCTAAGAAGCAGCCGCCCTCTAGGAAGCCCTCCCCCTCCCTCCACCCCCGTGTGCGCGCCAACAACCGTCAGCCGCGCTGCGTGGCTTCGCTTTTTTCGCCCCGTCAACAAGAACCGATGTCGCTTGCCTTTCCAGTGTGCTGCAGAACTGTATGTTCACTGGCTTGCCAGAGGGCCCTCGGGCTATGATCTGGCGCCGATGGACCCCCTCTCCTTGCTCTCTGCCTCTCTCTTCTTGTCTCTCCTCCTCGTCTCCTCTGCGAGCCTCTTCGGATGATGATAACCCGAGGAGGTTTTTAGTGTTGCACCCCCCTGCTTCTCCCCGCGGGAAGCAAATTCGCCCCCCTCTCGCTCGTCGTCCTCCTCCTCCTCCTCCTCCTCCTCCTCCTCCTCCTCCTCCTCCTCCTCCTCCTCCTCTGATGCACTGATGCACCTCCTCCTCCTCCTCGTCCTTCTCTTCCTCCTCTTCCTCCTCCTCCTCCTTTTGTTCCTCCTCCTCCTCGTCCTCCTCCTGCTGCTCCTCGTGGTCGTTATCGTAGTTTTCGTCGTCGCGGCGGGGATGGTTTCCCTCTAGTGTTGGGCGGTCTGGATAATGTTTTGGGGCTCTTTGCCCAGGGAGTAATATACTGTGGGCTACCCAACTCGCGAGAGGATTCGTGAGCATCTTATGATGAGTATTGCAGTAAGAATCAGTGGTTGCGTTTGCAGTCGTGATCGTAGTCGTGGTTGTAATCTTGGTCGTATTCGTGACTGTACTCGTGAGTGTACTCGCGATTGTGGTCTTGGTTGTAGTCGTAATCGCAGTCGGAATCGTGGTCGTCGTGTTGCAGCGGAGATTGTTTTCGTCTATCATGGGGCGGCCTGGACAAGGTTGAGTGTTTCTTGCCCCCAGGGAGTGATCCAGTGTGGGCTGATCCTAATTACATGCGAGATGATCTGTGGGCACCTTCCCGCGAGTCCGCGAGTATTGCACCAGGAACCAGTGGTTGTGGTTGCAGTGGTGAGTGTGGTCGTGGCCGTAATCGTGAGTGGATTCGTGATTGCAGTCGCCATCGTAGTCGTAGTCGTAATCGTAGTCACGCTTGCAGTCGCAATCGTAGTCGTAATCGTTGTCGTATTGTGGTCGTAGCCGTTATTGTTGTCGCAGTCGTCGTCGTCTTCGTCGTCGTTGTGCGGCAGGTGCCGCGCAGAGCTCATCACTTTCCACCGTTAGTGGGACCCCAGTCCGTCAATAAGAGCGTCGAAAAGATACTTCGTCAGGTGTGAAACCCACAACCTACAACAGAGCGTCGTCAATAAGAGCGTCGTCAATAAGAGCGTCGTCAATAAGAGCAATCATAAGAGCGTCAATGGAGGTTGTAAAGACCTATAGAGGTTGGTTTTGGTGGCTTGGGCCGCCCTTGACTGCAGCCGTGTTTCCCTGCGTGGCAGGAAGTATCTCGCTTCACCGTATCTCGCAGCGTTTTATTGGGCTTGCGGTTTCCTTGTCTCCCGTCCCCCCACTGTTGCGCGCTGCTTGCCGTGGTCTCCCTCCTCCTTGCTCCGCTGCCTCCTCTCTCGCTCGCTTTCCTGCTCCTCGCCGTGCTACTCTCGGCTCTGCCGCTTTCCGCTCTCTCCACTTTGCCGCGTGCTCCCTCTCCCTGCTCTTGCTGCTGCTGTCCACGCGTGGCGCCCAGTTCTCCTTACCTGGATGCCCGGGCCTTTGGCATGCTCCGCGACGCCTGGGGTCTGGGTTGTGTTGCGTTGCGGGG